CTATTTTTTGTTTTATTCTTTTTCATCGCATTTTTTCATCAAAATATCAATGCTGAAAGTTGTAAGTAATTTTTAATAATATTCAAAATATTTCTTGTCTTAATATTTTATTGAATTATAAAGTTTATAATCATTTTTATAATCATATTTAATAATTAAATTTTATAATCATAATTAGAAATTAATCAATAAAATCTGTATAATTAGAAATTAAAAAAAAAATAACAAATAAACAATAAAAAATTTTTTCTCAAATTCTTATACAATAGTAACTTTGATAATTTTCATAAAAGAGTAGAATGATATTATAATATATTATAAAAAATTTTTTAATACAATTTTTCACTTAAATTGAGCATTGAGCAAATTATTTATCATTGATAATATATTATTCATAATTTCCTTTTGCGTAATCAAAATAAAATAAAATCACAAAAAAAAAAATATCATTTCAGTAAAACTATGCATGGTTGAAAGTATTCACACAATAAAAGGAATTCGCAAACTTTGCCCACAATTGACAATCTCAGGGAATCAGATAGAATGTGTTATAGGAAGTGATAGGCGAGTATAACAAATTAATAGGAAACACGATAAATTTTATACTTTTTGAGTATTGAGTATTAATTTATTTTTGAGTAATTTTTGAGTATTAATTTTACTTTTTTTTCTATTTAATATCTTAATTTTTTTTTGTTTTTTTAACGATATTAAATTATACAGATTTAATTGCCTACGACATTTGTCTATGAATAAAGCCGATTTTACTGTATTGGAACCGGAAGATCTGGTTGCAGCGTCCGCGTATAACGAGTACAACATTCTAGTCACAAACGAATTAAGATTATTTTCAGACGGTAATAACAAAGTAAATTAAACAGTAATTTAAACTTATATTACTGATTATTAATATTTGAATATATTAAAATTTATGTTTTACCATTATTATTTTATTTTTTATTAGAGAAACAACGTTATGAAATGGTAGTTATAGTCTCTAAAAACGTGAGAAATATATGGGACGTTAAGGGTAAAAGATTTTGTCATCCTGGATTAGATACTACTGATGATTGGACCAATTCTTTTTCAACGGTTAATTTTTTTATAATTATTTTTTACTTTTTATGTTTTTTTTATTTATCATATATTTTTTATAAATCAATTTTTGGTAATTGAAGTAAGTAATGAGTTAGTTTAATTCCTAAGAACAAAGTTGATTGAGTAATTTAGTTTATTAAAACATCAAAAAAGATAAAATTTTAATTAATTTACATATATTAAGTTTAATAATTTAAAACAATTCGAATTTCTCTTTTAATAACTTAAAGAACAATTGCTATATATATACAAGATTGGTTATAAATGATATATATTTCATTATTTTTATTTTTAAAAAACTATGTTTATTTTTAAAAACTATGTTATCAATTAAATTATTACATATAATATATAAACTACACTATATAAAAATAGAAGAAATTTATTGTTATAATATTAAATTTTTAAATATTAGATAAATTTAAAAAATATATCAACATTCATATAAAATATAATAATTATTTAATTTTTTTTAAATATTCTCAAAATCTACTTAAATCATTTAAGGCTTTTGTTGAATAAAATAATTTATTCTATTTTAAATATATATTTTAAGCATAAAATTAGATATAAAATATAATAGTATCATATAAAGAAAAAATAAAAAAAATATAAAACTCCAAAAATATAAAAAAAATGATAGAATTAACATACCTTTATTACAATTGTAGTATTTTGAAGAATGGATAATACCGAGAAATTGCGACCCAAATAAGACGTTATTAGAAGATCGAATGAATGGTTTGTCAAATTTTTTTGAGACAGCTTGTATAGCTGGGCCTTGGACCGCAGATACTATATATGATAGTAAATTAAGTAGGTATTTAACAATTTAAATAAATAGAAAACAATATAGAACATTAATCACTCTATAACAATTTTTTCCCTTATAGAATCGAAATATAGAAATCTTTGTGCTGCATGCGACAATCCAATGGGCTGTTATTCGAGTGATATATATCATGGTCGCGAAGGTGCCTTATTGTGCCTTACTGATAACGCAGGTGACGTTGCCTGGGTTAGATTAAATGATACTCTGGAACATTTTAAGGTAAAAGAATTAATCTCTAAATGACAGATTAATCCGTTTGAGATAATAAGAAAAAGTAATGAAAAATAAAAGATTTAAAAATATTATTTTTTCTGTTTTTTTCATGAAGTAAGAAATAATTAATTTTCATGTGCAATAAAATATATTAATTATTTTAAATTATAATAATATAATAATATAATAATATAATTATTATATTATAATATAATAATGATATAATAATATAAGAATTTTCAATAATTTGTTAATGAATTATGAAATCAGGATGAACGAATTAACAAGGAAGATTACAAATATCTTTGTCCGGATGGTACAACGAGACCTGTAAAACTCGATAAACCATGTGTATGGATCACGAAACCTTGGCCAGTAATTATCGCTAGATCGTTAGTAGAAAATGTTAACAAGAAGAATTTGATTAAATAATGTATATTTTAAGTGATATTTGCATTTTACCAGAGAAGTAGCAAAAAAGGTGGAAAAGATAATGATTTCTTTGAAGATAGACAAGTTCGGTTGGAAGCTACGACAATTGTTGGAAAATTATCATCCAACACCTGTGAGCACAGATACTTTGGAAACGCCGGAAGACTTTCTAGTAAGATGTAATTAGCAATGATTCATTATAATACGAATAACTTGCAAATTAAAAAAAATAATTTAGGATTTTATTTAAAATTTAATATTTAATTGTAGTCCCTCGTTTTATGGGTGCTAACAATCGCGTATCATGTCATCCATCAAGAAGAGTAAAATGGTGTGTTGTTTCGAACTTAGAAGAGAATAAATGTCGATGGCTTAGAGAAGCTTCGATTGTGTATGGTGTAGAACCAGCGATTGCCTGTATTCAAGAATTAACAAGAGCAGACTGTTTAAAAGCTCTTAAGACCGAACGTGCGGATATATTTATTGCAAAACCAGAAGAATTGTTCCAGGTCAGAAAGTGAGTAAAGATGAGAATTGTATTCATGGAAAAAATAATATTTTGTAAAAAAAACTATAATTATGTTTAAAATAATGTTGGCTATATTGATAATGTTTAAAATAGAATTGGTTTAAAAACAATAGCACAAGTAGTACCCAAGAGGAACAATGAATTCATTAGAATTGCAGCAGTTGTGAAACAAGATTCGCGGTTCAAAAGTTTAAAAGACTTGAAAGGAGCCAAAGCATGTTTTACAGGATACCGAGATATGGGTAAATATAATTTTTCATTTTTTTTTTATTTTCTTAAATAGTGATTTATAATAAATTAAATAATTTGTTAGAAACAATAAGTAAGATAATTTGTTATTGTTAACAAGCAAAACATATTTTTTGTAGGATGGAATGCTTTTGTGGCTGTATTGAAAATTATTTCGAATTCAAAGTTTTATTGCGACACGGAAGCAGTTGCTAAGTTCTTTACAGAGAGTTCCATTGTTAGTCTGAGTGACAATGATGGGCAAATGCCATATAATTTACATTCCTTAACTAAACAAGGTGCGTACACATTGCATGATGATAACAATGAAACGACGCGATTCTAATATCAATGAAACAAGAAAACCAACAAAATTTGTAGCAAACGGAGTTGGAAAAGACTTGAGTGCCTTTGATTGTATGATGTCTAATATTGGTGACGTAGCTTTTGTTGATTTGAAGAAGATTGATGAAAAAAGTGGTAAATACATTGGACAAATAAATAAAAAAAAAATTAATTTATTAACATTTATACAAAAAAATTATTAATAAATTTTAAACTAATTTTTTCATATTTTAATTATATTTTTATTATTTTAGGTACTTTAATAAAAAAACATAGTAATCAAATGCGAAATAATAAATATCGAACCTTATGTTTTAATGAAGTAGATTCGGATGAAGTATGTTTACTTACATGGGCACCATTGGGCATGGTATATTTGATATTAAAAAAAATTTTATAGTATTTTATAATTTTATAATAATAATATAGATATTGGATTATTTTTAGGTAATAACGAATGAAAATATGACAGAGTTGCGACGAAATGAGATTTATTCTATGTTGTTAGAAATGGACAAACTTTTCGGAAGTACCTTCAAGGGTCGTACGCCCGCATTTTCTATGTATGGGATATACGATTCAAACGAAAGTATTATATTTCCGGTACGTAAAAATATTAGCTTTAAAATAATAAGATACTAATATATAATCCAAATCAAATAAAATTAATATTATTAAAAATAAATCTTTATACAAATAAATTTGAATATATATAATATAACACATAATATAATATGTGTCGATTATATAATATAAAATCAAACATTTTTTTTACTCTTCATCAGAACTTAAGCACATACAGTCCAAAGGTCGTTCAAGTATAGTTATTTTTTCTCCATATTTTTCATTTTTCATCATTCCATAATAAACATAACCTTTTTCACAAAAAGCCCATGGAAAATGTATACATTTGAAAGAAATACAAGGTTCTCCTTTTGCGTCTAATGCAATAGCACCTACATGAGAATCTCCAGTTTCCATTTCGAAGTTCTGCAGTACACTGTTTACTGCACTAGTTATACATATATCTTCAGATAACTTTCTAATTATTTTACGTGCTGGTGCATAGCAATAGATACTAGAATCATTACCAGAAACAGAAGTACAGCCAAGTTCGTTTGTATAAATGCCGCAACCAATTACGGTACCGATTGAACTTACAGAACCAACTGGTTTTCCAGATTCTCCCGCTGTCGATGTTCCACTTGCAAGTCGTTTCTTACGATCGTATGCAACTACTCCAACTGCACCAATCTGATATTAACATTTTTCAATTATATTTTATATAATATGATTTGGTGAAAATATACGAAACTATAGATATTATTTTTTCATTAATATTCTATAAATACAATTCGACAAATATGATGATTTTTTAATCAAAATTGAAAAGCAAAAGTATAAAAAACATACTTGTAAAATTATTGGTTCATCTACGATATCTACATCATCATCAGATAATTCACGAGGATATACTTCACCTTCTTCATATCGATATATAACACAATTTGAATCACATTTTTTTTTTTCATTTTCTTCATTTTTTTCATTTTTTTCATTTTTCAATTCGTTTATTTCACATTCTTCTTGTTCATTTTCAAATGATTCACTTATGGATTTGAATGAACTTAATGAAGAGAATTCACGTAAACTACTTGGCGGTAAAATTGGAATTTCGTGATCCAATGCAAATTTTTGAGCTCCTTTTTCAACAATTAAGATGTGTTCCGTTTTTTCTAACACTTTTCGTGCTGCATATATTATATTACAATTAAAAATTTTTTAAAATGAATATTATTTTATCATTAAATACAAACCTAAAGAAATCGGATGTTCTATATCACGTACAGCACCTACGCATCCAGCATCTTTTGTTGTCATTATAGCAGCATCCATGACAACTTCATTATTAATATCTAAAGAACCTCCTTTTCCACAATTAAATAATGATCTACTTTCCATATAAGAAATTGCTTTTTCTACCGCATCCACTGCTGATCGACCGTTAATAAGATCGCTATATGCTTCAATTGCTGCGTTTTTAACCTATTTGAATTAAAGATTTTTATTTTCCTAATTAACAACAATTTGAATATTGATTTGAATGTAATGCTTTCCAACCTCAAAGAGTATATGTTTACGTTTGTTACGAGGAATTTTTCCTGCACCTCCATGGACTATTATAACAGGATCTACATAGACACGACGTTTCTTTTTCTCTGGTTTTATTTCATTTCTAATTCTTGTTAAAATTTGATCGATCCACGAACAATAATCACACATTATGAATATATAACATAAAATTTTATGAGAAAGAATTAATTTTTGTAAATTAACGATCATTTGATTTAGATAAAAAGAAGTAATTAAAACAAATGCAAATGTTTTTTTTTTTGTAGGAAGGGACACAACATCTACAGTTAGAAGTTCATCAAATTCAACGAGCAATAAATTATTCCGATATTATTAACGATATCGTGAAACAAGTTAATTGTAGTGGTGTAAAAAGTTTGAGTTCTCTTTATAACATGATTTTTATATATATATTTTTTGTTCTGTTGTTATAAATTGCTTAAGCATCATTAAATATCATATCTACTGTTATTGTATGTATATATACATGTTTTGATAAAATTTCACTATAATAAAAAAAATAATAAATAATAAAAATTGTATTATAGACTATATTATTCTTCATTAAGATTATATTATTTAAATATTTTTTTATATTATAAAACAATTAATTGTATATAATTTGTACACAGTTTCATAAATAATAGTAGTTAATAAATAATAATAGTTTTGTATAAGTTGCATTTTATCTATTAAAATGATATAATATTATCATTAACAAAATGTTTTTAAAATGATTATGGGATTGTCCTTAAATATTATTTTTGAATATACAGTTTACTTGAAAAATACAAATATAATATATATATCCATAGTATCCACAGTATTTTTTTTAATTCACTGAGAATATAAAAAAGTTTCAATTTTTTTGAATAGTTTCTATTAATGATTTTATCTTAATTATAAAATTGCAATATATCGCATAAAAGTATTTAATTCTTCTAAATAATCTTCTTTTTTTGAGTGATAAAAATTTGTTTTTAATTTGTGTATTTCTACATCTCCAGATTCTATACCAAATGCCTAAAAAAAAAATAATATATTGAATCATAAATTGCAATATATAAAAAAATTAACATACCAAGTATTGATGAGACATATCTCGTTTTGTTTTACAATATGATAATTGCATACTTTTTATATTTCCATTTTTTTGCATATTTATTTTATATGTTGGATATATATCACTATTACTTAAGTCCCATATATGTATGCTAAAATATTAATATGTAAAATTATTTAATTAAATTAAATTATTTAAATCAATGTTCATTTTATTATATCTTCTTATGTCTTCTTACCATGATTTATTATCTAATACAAAAAATGTAAATGGTTTTGACCGTGACCATTGTATTGATTTAATCATATATGTACTGTCTTCATCTTTTAATTGTAAAATTGGTTTTTCAGTATTTAAAGAGTGCAACCGAATTGTTCCATCATCACAGCTAACCTATAATAACGAACTACTTTAGAAATATAATAATATTAAAAAATTTATGAATTTGCATAAAAATTGTTTACCAGAAAAAATGAATAATCAAATGGACAACTTTCTATATAAGTTACATTTCCACAGGCACCTGAAATATCAAATAAAATAAATGAATAATTAACAAATTAAAATTAAGATACCATTGATAACTTACTAGTATCCAACTTTGTGTATATAGCAGGATTAGTTTTTTTACCAATACAAGTACCATGCAAAATATTGTTACTATTAGTAGCAATATAAAAATTGTTACTATTAATACAATCCACGTGTATATCAATAAAAGTAGCTGCATTGATCCTTATAAAGAGTTAAAATATTCTAATAAAATTGATATTCAATACATAATGCACAACTTATTACAAAATATTTACTTTTTTTTATGATTAGATTGTAAAAACAATTCTTGACTTTTAACAAGTTTTATAGTACCCCAAAATGATAGTCCTAAATCCTCAATATTTTTGCCCATATTATGCAAAACACTCCATATAATAAGAGTACCATTTTCATTTAAGCTACATATCTATTGTGAAATCACATTAATAATTAAAGTTAATTAATAAAATGTCAATTAAAAATTAATATAAAGTTATGTAGTAATTAACATAAATAATATTAATTATAATATATAATATAATAAATTAATACATTATTAATTACAACATTATTAAATGCAATTATTAATTAAATATAATATATTTAATAATATTAACAAACCTGTATTGGTATAAATTTATTGTTACGTCGTACTAATGATTTTTCTTCAATTTTAGATAATACACGTACTGCAACGATTTGTGTAGTATGAATATTTATATCAATATTTGTTGCTGTTGTGTATGTGGGTATTCGTATTGTCCAATCTAAATTATTGGCTTTATCTGTAATTTTGTGATGCCACATTTCATCTTCTTTTAAATCCCAGAGACTTATTGATCTATAATTATATAAATTTTGTTTATTTTCATATAAAATATAAATAAAACATAGTAAAATATTGAAAATAACTAGCAAAATAATATACCCATCTTGCAATCCACCAAATATAATATTATAATTTGCCGAATGGAAACAACATGCAGTAATAGGACAGATAGAATAAAATAATTTAATTGGCATAGATGGTTCAGAAATATTCCAAATACATCCAATACAACAATCAGTTATATAATCTTGTTTGTTGGATGTTTCAATTTCCTATATAAAATATATAATTTTTATTGCTTCAAATTTAATATAATAAATCTTGAATAAATAATTCTTACTTCTTCGACTGGAGAATGAATAGTCAACAAGATTTTATTTAGGACTTCAGAATAATGAATTATTGTTACTGTTCTACCAGCCAGAAATGTTACAGAATTTATACAAAGTTTAACAATACCATCACTGAATGGTATTTCTTTTTCATTTTTAAATACATTACCACCAGATCGTCTTTCTTCCAGTAAAGATAATATTACTTTTCCTGCGCGATTTATAAAATCATTTAATCGTAATATATCAAAAGATTGTAATAATAAAGAATTCACAGTTTCTATATCATTATCGCTACCAGTTCCAATTTGATCCTGAAAAAATATTTTGAAAAAATCTATCATTATATTAATAATTGAAAAATAAATTTATATACCATACGAAACAAGTCTAAATCTTCCTTGGTTTGTATATTATTTCTGCAAGTTATAGGGAATTGAGTCCACTTATTTTTAAATATAATTTTCTCCGTTTGTATTTCTATATCAATATTATCTTCACCAGTTTGTGTTGATATCTAAAAATCGAATTTATTATTTATATTTATTATCATATTACTATTGCATAATAAAAATAATAATTGGCTATTAACATACTTGTTGAGTATTTAATTTTCCATAATTTCTAATAAATTCTTCATATGGTATAGGTAAACATTCCAAAAGAGACCACTCCATAACATCTAATTTTATCATTTCTAAAAGTTCTTCACCTCTACTTAAAGCTCTTTTAGATTTCTGGAAGTATTAATAGATAAAATTAATTTAGAAGTATTAATGAAAAATTTAATTAATTCCAAATTAATTTATTACCTTTGTTTTTTTTTTTTCTTTTACTTTATGGAAATTAATAAATGAAATTTGTGAAATTGATGGTAATTTTGTAAAATCACCGGAACGACTATCTTCAAATCCTTCATCAGTAGATAATGGTAATGATTTATTTTCTGATTTGTCTTCACTATATAAAAAAATATACACAAATATTAAAATATTAAAATATATATTAAAGTATAAAATATTAAAATATATATTAAAGTATTTATTAAAATAAATATTATTTCCAAAATCATTTGATAAATTAATTATATAATTATTTAATGAATACAATACAAGCTGTACAATATATTATTTAATTATCTTGAAACTTGATTTTAGTTAAAACAAACCTATATGATTTATTAACTGGTTGTTTTATTTCAAGAAGAGAAGATAATTTTGGATCATTTGTAATTAATTCTATTCTTGCTGCTCTTTTTCTTGCTTCTGTAAGTTCATAATGACCAGAATCATGCATATGTTCTTCTTCTTTTGATTCAGTACTGTTCACAATTTTGTGCTAAAATAAAATAGTAATTTAAAATAAAAATATTATTATATTTTATAATAAAATAAATGTCAGTACTTGTTTTGTAGTATGTAATTCGATTGGATCTAGTGATAAATTAGTATAATTATTTGTTTCTTCACTAACTTCAGATGATTCACTATCTGTGCATTCTTGAAAATCAGACTCATAATCCTATAAAATGATGTAAATTAAAATTACAAACATATAATAATACATATAAATATATATTATAATATATTATTTTACTTCAAAATCATCTTCATAATCATATTCATAATCTGCTTGTTCTTCTTTATTTTGATCCATTTTCTGTAATGAATCTAATCTATTTTTAGCAGAATGTAACATTTTTATTTCACTAGGACTTAATGTTCTAGACAATTTACGTTCTCTTGATTTTAATTTTGATTCAGTTACTTCTGAGGTATTTGTATGTGCTTTAATTTGTTCTTTGTCTTTTGATGTCGAACTAGAATTTTTATCTGATAATTTAGCATTAAGCTTGCTTGAAAGTGATTGTGGCACATATATTGTACTTAATCCTCTCTTTTCTGAATAATTGCTTTTTATTCTTCCAGTACTACTTTTACTACTTTTTATAGTAATATTATTGATTTTTTTTGTAGAATCAGTTGATGTTTTTGATGTTAAAATACTTTTTGATGATCTAGGACTATTAACATTTAGTTTTGATGTTGAAGATAAACTTTCCTTAACAGGAATAATTTTAGCAGATTTAATAGATTGTTTTGTATTGCTTTTGTTTGATTGTAAATTATATGTTAATCTTGAATGATCATCATTCTTTTTTCTTTGAAGAGTTTGTGACATTTTTATCAATTTTAAATCTAATTGTTCAAAATTTTCTGACTCTTTATGAGGTAATGAATTTTTTGATTTAAATTTAATATTTGGTTCTTGTCCATCTTTAGCTGTTAAATTCTTTTTAATTGTTCCCTAAGGTATAAAATAATAAAAATACTTTTAATATTTTCTTAATATCACTCAAAAATTTGATTTCTATCTATAGTTTTCAAAATTATTTATGTATCTATTATATATTATATATTATATAAAAAAGTTAATAGATTTGAAATTGTTAATAATCATAAATAATTGATTTAAAATTAAAATGTCATAATTTTGTGAAATTATTATAATCATGCATGAAAATTTAAGAAATATATATATAAATAAATAATAAATAAATAATATGTTTGAAATTAAAGATATATTTTTTAAATATAATAAAATATCACCTTATGAGACATATTTATAATTGATTAATGTTGACGATTCTTATAAGATCACCATAATGTAAACTGTCATTTTTCACAGCGCTACATGTAGTTATTTTATAAAACTACATACGTATTACAACTACGTAAGAGATATTTTTACCATCTATTGGTAAAAAGTTACAAATAAATTTTTTATTTGAAGTATTTATATATTTTTATATCAGAGATAAATTCATTTATATATATATTATATTATAAACAAAATATTTTCCTTTATATTTTTAAGGAAATTTCCTTTATATTTATATTAAATTCAAGAGTAATATGTTATCAATTATACGAAAATTTTTATATTATTAAGTTTTTTAGTTTCTAATAAATCAAATATCATAATATAATAATAATAATAATTTCTAATAATAAATCAAACGATTTATTAATATATAAATGATATTAAAAAATATATATTGTCGGTGTAAAACGATAAGAAAGAAAAGAACGATGGAAAAGAAAGTTAGGTAAGAAAAATTAATTTAATTATGATAATTTAATGATATTTTATGATATTTTATAATCATTCATAATCATAAATAGTTTGGCGTCTCGGAAGAAAAATAACAAAAATATTGATCATAATCTGCTTCGACGACATGATCAAAAATCGACAGTTTCTGATTTGGTATATAGATACTTAAAAAATATTGCATACACCGATAGCATTCGAAAACAGCGTAATAATGCATGCAATAGATTTCGAAGAAAAAACTCAAGAAGGAGAAATATTCATCCTTTGCACAAATATATAAATACAGGTATAAATAAATTCAAAATTTATTTAATTTTTTATTTAATTCCTTTTTTATTTTTAATAAAAAATATTCTCAACTTCATAGATTGCAATAGCATAAGATCTTACTTAAGTAAAGCACTTTGTTTTGCGATACATTCTGGTTTTTTAATTCCCACCGATCGAACTGGAAGATTTTTACAACTTTCTCCATATTTTACATTAAATCATGCTTTTGACAAAAAATATAAATAAAAAAACAATAAAAATGTAAAATAAAAATAAAATAAATAAAAATAGAAATAATTTTATAAAAATTTATTTGTTATATATTTATTAAAATTTATACAAATCTCTGTATTTGATAGAAATTTAATACAAAAAAGGAATATAAAAAAATAATTGATTTTCAATTAATTAAAATATTTCATCTTGAAAATAAATATATATAATATATAACATATATAATAAATCACATTAGAATTATATTTACAAAATTTGCCAATTGAACAAAAATCTAATTATTTTTTATATCGTTTTGCTTGTTGCTTACACTTTTCTTGACAATGTTTAATCCATTCTTTCAGTTCTTTTTCATGTTTCTTTGAATATGGAATCAGATTTTTTATTTCATTGTAAATTTCATCTACATTATCTGAGTTTAATTTATTTAATCTTATATTTTCTGTCATTGTTCTATCATTATTTTCTATTGTTTTCCTTCTTTTATTATTTTCTTTCCTTTTCGAAGAATTGAATATTGGCTGTTGTTCCATTTTTATTTTTCTTTTTTCATTTATCTTCTTACTATTATTTTCTTGCACATTTTGTTCGCTTCTTTGTATTTTTGAGTTATTTTTCAAATTTTCTTGAATTTCACATATACATTCGTCTTCATCAGTAATTTCGTTACAAAAGCATTTTGGCGTTATTTTAGTTGGATTCATCTCACGTTTTTCTTCTTGTTTTCGAAAATCTTTTCTTGTTTCATTGATAGATACTTTTTGATTTTTACTTGTAAATTCTGACTCTTCATCGGTTGTTGTTTCACATTCGCAATCGTTAACTATGTTATTGCGACGTTTTGGTTTTTTAATTGGCAAAGACAATAAACAATCTTTTCGACTGTTCGCACAAGTTGTCTGATTCATCAAGATTGCATTTGGACCGGTCAAATGATATTCGTTTCCTAATAATTCTATAGCGAATCTAAAATGGGAAATTATTCATATAAATCATATGAATCTATGGACATTTTTGCATAATGGAGAAAATAAAATAATTATTATGATTATATAATTATTTTAAACAAAATTATATATCCTACAAAAAAATAATATTATAAAATTATAAGTTATTTGAATTAAGTGATCATGTTAATATTATATTAATAATTGTGTGTCGATAATTAATAATTATATTGAAAAAATAAATAATAATTATTTTAATAAAAGATTATTGAAACAATTATTTAAAAATTTCTTATCAGATTCATTAATTATTTTGAACATATAATAATAAAACTTTTAATAAAATTAACTAATAAAAAATATTTGTAAATATTTAATATAAAAATATTGTATTTTTAAAATAAATCATAGTCAAAACTAAATCTAATTAATTCTAACTTTTTATATCGATTGGATAATTCTCTTTATTTTTCGCAACAATTTTATAGATTTCATTTAAGCGAAAAATCCTTTCATAAGCCTTCTAAGTGATGAAACTTCATTTATAATTGGAAAAAAAACATTTTCATTGAAACGAACCGATGGAAACGTTACACAGTTAACAGTTTGAACTATAAATGAAACTGGTCGATAGATGCATGAGAATACGAACGAGATAAACGGTTTGCAGTTGCCTTGAACGCGATCGTGTCTCACGCGAGACACAATTTTCGCCTTACACCGGTTGTTTCGCTTCGTTTGATGCAGAAACTAACCCTTGGGAACAGATCTCTTTCAATGTGGTTCGCACTTGAGTATAAACATCACCATCGTTGCGATAATTTTTCTGGATGTAATCGACGATTTCCTCCACAGTGGAGGTAAGCAGATCGTTCTCTTCATCCTCGTTCTGCATCTGTCTCATCGCTTCCATCACGCGCACAGAGAATCTGGATGAATTTTCAGCAATACGCATGCAGTCACAGATTTTCTGCAAAAAATGACTTTTAATTATTATGACTTTTATTATTTAATATTTTAAGATGAAATAGATATTGAGATGTTCGTAATCTGGTCTTCTTTAAGATTATTGTCCACAATCATATAAGATCATTCATTCAACTATGGACGAAAACAATATTTATTCGAAAATTTATTTGTAGCAGATCGATATAAATTTTTACAGTTTTTTACAGTTTAAATTATTGACATTAAATTATTTAAATTTATTATATGTAGGCAATTAGAATTAATTTAATATTACGAAATAATTATTTATAAAATTATTCTTTATCAGCTAAATAAAATGTATTAATTTTGATAAAAAAAATTTTTAATTTATTGCAAAAAAAAAAATGAGGTTACATACTTTTTATTTCTATTTGTTATTTTATCTAAAGATAATAAATTGAGAATTGACTAAAAATATATGAATATTATTTATTAAAATGTAATTATACGATATGTTGAATTAAAATTTTAAGTTATTTAATATGATAGATCAAAAACCTTGTTAAAATTCGTGTAATTAGTTATCATTCAAAAATTAATAAAATAATTAAAAATTGCTAAAAGATTTATTAAAAAATTGTCAAAATAAAATTTAAAATGTAAATCATTTTTTTTTTTAAATTTTTTAAACTTCAAAAAAGATAATTTTCTATGTATATATAATTTTCTTTATACGTATAATAATTTAAATCTAAACCTTTTCAATAGGGGGATTTTTTTTTGTACACTCAGCATCACAATATTTTGACTCATCTTCATCATTTATCTTCATTATTGTTTTTTTAATCTTCTTCAAGCATTTCATTAAACATTCGATTTGTCTCTTCATTCTAAAGGTTATTTCGATTCTTCATATCTAGTGTAAACAATAGGTAAGAAAGCATTATAAAATTTGGGAAAAGCAATATGAATTTGTATACGTTGTAAACGTGTGAATTTGAAGATTATCGTTTATTTAGATGTCAGTATGTTGAATTATATCAAAAAAAAGGCGTATAACATAAAAATTAATTATTACGTAATAAATTCTTCTAATATATATTCCAAAAAAATTTATTAAAAATATTTCAGATTCATAAAAACAAAAAATAAATAAATAAATAAATAACTCAACATCTTTAATTATGATAATATTATTATTTTCTCAATGAACAATTTTTTTTTTAATTTTCTTAATTTAATAATTTAAAACAATTTTTTAAATCTATGAATTTTAAAATACAAAGTTTTCTATGCCTGAATCGAAAAGAATATCAAATCATTTCATTTTCCAACGTGAGATCCATCTTGTCTCGAGTTACACATGCCAACGAATTATGTTTGTAACTGTGTTTACCACGCGTTAGTATCGATTTGCAATTGAAATAACACTACATGAGCATGCTATGGTCAGGGGGCGGTGTGTTACTCTGAAAAGGAAAAAAATAGGAGGAGCATTTGATCACTGGAGGGAGAACCGTATGAGTAAAATATTAATAAAAACCGAACAATGTCTGTTCATACACGGAAGCTTTTATTTTAATATCAATATCGCGTCGCAAATCATTGATAAATTATCATCTCGATAATGGTATTTAACATATTTATGCATTACTTTTCTTAATGACATTTCTTCACTTAAGCATTTAAATATGATATAAAAAAAAGAATCAAATAATATATATTTAATAGAAAAATAAATATTTTAAAATTCTTACATTGATAATTAATATACAAAATAGTACAAAATAATAATCATTAAAATAAATATAAATGTATAAAATAAAAAATATTCTGATTAAAAAAAAAATTTTCTTAGTTTTTGTAGGAAAAAATTGAATAATTGAAGATTCAAATAATTTAAATTTTTATTTTTATCGAAAAAAAAATGTTTCCAATATTTGTCTTAAGTAGCTACGAAGATATGAACAAGTATTATAAAATTTCTTGAAATCTTTTAAAAAAAATCAATTTTCTATAAAATATGAAGTATGATAAAATATACTTACAGTTATCTGATTTTTGACCGATGTTTTATTATTAATTTTTTTAGATATATATGAAAAAATTATGAGATTATTTGTATAGAGAAATAATTTCTTTTGAAAAAATTATTATGGAATTAAGAATTAATTTTCAAAAGTAGATAACACAAGATTTAGAATTTCGAGAGATATCTTGGATTTTTTCATTATCCATCTTTAAAATTTCGCATAGATATTAATTGTTATTTCACATCCGACAAAAATTCCAAACTTACTGGCCAAGAATTATCTAGACGAGGATAAGAACTGTGGTAAGCCATAATTTACCATAGTCTGGGAACCGAAAGGCTGCATACTTCTTTTATATTTTCCAAGATCAAATAATCTAAATCATTAAGTTTTGACTATTTTATAATACTTTTTAATGGAAGAGCTTTTGTATAAAATTGTAAAAGAAACAACATACATATAGTGATTGCAAAAAATATTTCAAATTTTTGTAATTATATGAAAATATTATTTAATATTATTATAATACAAAATAAATGTTATAATAAATACAAATACTAATTATTTTTAGTATTTTTTATTATATATTATTATTATCATGAAATTATTACATTCATAAATCATACAATCATATCTGTAATAATTTCATTTTTTGTAATCATTACAATATTATATATATAACATTACAATTACTATATATATATACGTATAATATCATAATATTATGATAAAATTTTTTATGAAAAAAATTTTCAAAGTTCCTAAAACTATTTTGATATAAAAAGTTTAGTTTTCTAATATCTTTTTTCTATATATTTACAAATCTTGCATTTTGGTTCACAAGATAATAGGTAGAATACTAAATCCACGTTGATTTAAAAAGAAAAAGAAAAAAATGGAAATCAGGATAACCGAAAGGAAGAAGAGCAAAAGCTGCCACGTTAATCTTTCATCGCAGGCGAATACTTCCCGCACAAAGGAAGCGTAAACGAAGTAAATGAAAACGGAAGCCTGCTAATCGGCACACACCTGACACGAAACATGTACTAAAAGGAACGCAGAGCATGGAACCAGTGGTGAATCGAGCAAAGAAAAGTTTAATCGCGTCTTTTGCGAACAAAGAGGGGCGTCCTCGTGACGACTTGATGAGATAACTTTCCTCTGGAAACAACGAGCGTCACGAATACTATATGACTGGTGTGCGAGGGTGAAAGAGGAATCGGTGCCTTCTAAGCGAAGATGGTAAACGGTGGATGAAATTAAGGGTTAGACACGCGACCCATTCGCCATGATGTCGCTTCTAGGTGTACAACACACGAAATTGTGCGTGATCCTTGCTTCGTATTCATCACTTAAGAACACAGAGAATTTTGTTCGGGAAAAACGATGAAAAATACTTGTTGAAGCTTCTTCATTTCAGTCGTTTATATTTTGAATTCCGAATATGAAGATTTATGATCTGTTCAATTTCTTTTGATAATTAAGTTTTAATTGATAAAAGTATTGAATTGATTTCATATAATTTTTTATTAACTATTATATACATATGTAACAACATTTGTATACAAATGTCATGTACTACATTTATGGACTTTGGATTTTATGAGATAATTTTAGATAAAGTTTATAATTTGCTAAAATCATATTGATACATCTTTATTTCTTTTTTTTATAAAAAAATATTCAAAATGATTCAGATATGCATTATAAAATAATCATAAAATTCTGAAATAAGTGTTATGCTGTTCCATGAGATGTTTCTCATTTCATAGCTAGCTTTTTCAAGAATTTCTCTTTTTCATTTTGAAGTAACAATATCTTTAAATCTTTCTCTTCTTTTAATAACAAAAACTTTCGATATGAAAGTTACATGATGTCAGCAACGTCATGTAACTAGGTATAATTTAGCATAATTTAGTATCCTGACCAATCATAGCAGTCTATATCATTCTCTTTATATATAAATCGTCATAAAACTATTAACTTTTTTTCAATGATTTAAACATTTAATTTACATAAGCAATATATAGAATTTCTATCTATCAATACTATAAATAAAAGTTTCACAATCTCGTTAAAAATCAAAAATACATTTCATATATCATACTCTCTCTTCACAATTACGCGATCGAGTTTGTTCTACATTCCACAACATCATACTTATCATATTTTATGCTTTATGGCTTAACAACTTTCTTAAAAAATTCTTTCGAAGAAGAAGATGTAAAGAAATTAAGGAAAAATATGTTTGAAAGCGGAAACACTTCAATATCAAAAGAAGTAAGAGGACGTGAGAAATGAGAGAAATGTAATGGTGGCAGGAAGATATGGTCGAAATGTGTAATCTGTCGTTTCCAGGCGATTACGCGGATTAGCTGGAGGTCATGCGGTGTCATGGGAAACTTAAGGGGCGCTCAGGAGGTCACATGACGTGATGTCACGTTACTCGTTGGTCGCGGACAGGTGTTTGAGTTCGCACGAGCAAGAGACCAAGCGAGCAAGAGGCGCGTGGGCGTTCGCTATCGCGAATCCAAGCGGCATAATGATAACGAGCGGTCGACAAAGAACGGAGTTCATGTCAGGACAGATCTCGTTGATTATTTTTGCTTCTCCGGGAAAATGGCTTGATGAACAATCATTTTTATCGATACCATTATGGGTAATTATGGTAACAGTAAATTTTTATAAAACCATACGTTTCTTCGTTGATTATATAAAAATAACAAGAGATTAAATTTTGAAGAACATGGTGATGGAATATTCTTCTCTTGGAAAATTTAATCTATGTACGATTATTTCTTAATAAGTTTAGTTGTACTTAATTCAATATCTTCGATTCTACGAGATATGTTTAAAAAATAAGATCTTTAAAAAAATATATTTTTGAAATAATAATTTGAAGATTTTGAATTTTGAAGAGAAAATAATAAAGTTTTTAATGAATAACTCTGTTGTAAATAAATTTCACGTATAATACTTCTTCTTAAATTGAAATCAATTTAATTTTTTCGATAAATTTAGCGGACATGGTCAATCCAAAATACATTTTTAGGAAAAATAGAAAATATAACTGAAAATAACTTTTTCATAAAAAAAGATCTCAATAATACATATGTGTGCGTGTGTGTGTATAATCCTTTAAAAATATTAAATATATAGTAATTAAAGAAATTATGTAGATTGAATGGTAAAATCAATAGAAATAATAGTTAAATAATAGTCTAAAAGTGGGTGAAAATGATTCATTTTGTTTCTTAGGTACACCTGGCAAACTTGTGAAATGTTGAAGCTAAATTGTTGTTCCTAAGACACCTGTACTGAGGCTTCGTGAGATTACGGCCACATGGCAATAGGCGCATCACCCTTCAACGCTAAATTAGATATTACGATAACAAATGGCGTTATTTAACCCGCGGTGCGCCCCCCGAGTTAAATTTGAACAGGCAATATAATCCACCCTGCTTGTCCCCTTTTTTCGCGAAAACGAAAACGACACGCTATCTCGTAAATCACCGTCGCACCTTCAATCTTCTTTTGTGCAATTATATTACTATTTTTACTTATAGTCAAAGAAAGAAGTAAGATTTAAGACTGAAAACTTGAAAAAATGTAGAATTAAATCATTATTTATTATTTAAAAAACTAATAATTTGATGGAGAGAAAATAGACATTTTTTTTATGCTCTTTTTTTTTCAGAAAAAATTAATTATCAAAAAATTCAATCTTTTTATGAATTATTCTTGCATTAATATTTCTTGAATCTTTTGTGTTAAAAATTATTAGTTAATATTTATATTAATTTAATATTTATATTGACTGATAAATAATTAGGAATTATTTGATGATGAACTTATTATTAATAATATTTTTTGATCGTTCTAAATCGATTATGTACTACAATAAATACAGACACGCGAAGGTCAAAGGACCTATACAGCTAATTCCTGCGGAAAACAATCGATCTTTTGACCATTAATTGCTATTCACGATGGGATTGCAACATTGATGAGGTTGAATAGTAACAATTTTAAGCTCTGAGTCGGATTCATCAATGTTGCAAATTCTCCATTTGATATTGTCTTGCGTTGTCGTGTAATTTACTTCATAATAATTATCGACGCATTAAACATTCGTAGGTAACATGAATGTGTCAGCTGCCAATTGTCCCAGAGACATTAGAAACGTAGTCGAATCCTATCTATTGTATTAGCATAGTGTGTTATTGCCTCGGTATGTATATGTACTTACATGAATACATAAGATAGAAGTAATTGAATACTGTAAAATAATTTGTTAATTGAAAACAATTTATAATATTTGAAAATACTATAATAACATATACATATCAAAATTTAAAGTTTTAAAAAATCAAAATTGTTTTAGAAAAACAATTTGAAGGTTAAGTTTATTTCTTTTAAAATAATCTATGATAATTTGCATATGAATTAATCAAGAAAAAATATTTAATGTTACGAAGATATATAATTATCAAATCTTGTTGAATTATATCTAAGGATTATATAAGAAACTATGTATGAATGACAAAATATTTATCGATAAACATTAAAAAAAGTATGAATATCTATCTTTTGTCTTTTTCTTTATATAATTTATTTATTATTCTTTTCAATATTTATATATATTACATAACATTATATAATTTTTTTATTATTATATATTTATATTATTCTATATCTCATTTTGAGGTTAAGCATTGGAACAACTTCAATTAAATTTTTCTTTATATATTTATCATTGTTTTATAACACATTGTAAATTTATTGATTCATAAAATTATTTTAATAATAATAATATATCAAAAATATGTTACCAATTTAATTTATGTTACTATTTTATTTCAAGAATAATTTTTTAATGTATTTATAATGTTTCGATATGAAATAATTGTAATGTACTTTTATCACATTTTTATTCATATATTGAATATTTTTTACATTTTTTTTACAGAAAAGGATTTCATCTATATATTAATTCAAGCCACGCAATGAAAAATATAATTACAGGAAAAAGAGTTAAAAACATGTTTCGTAAAGTTTGTCAGTAACAACTTTCAACGCGACACCGATGTTAATCTTCCATCATTCAATCATGCAAGATACGAGAAAAGTCCATTATAACAACAGATCTAAAGATTAAGGTCGTGATATGAACGTTAGGCTGAGCCATTATCGGTTGTGCCGTCATCCAGGGATTGGCCGATCAGAGCCAAGCTTTTGCCTTACTTGACCACTTAAAATACCAGTCAACTGTTCACCCCTAATGATTCAGGGGCGGAACAATCGTTTGTTTCTCCAGTGCGCATGTACGGAGAGGCGGAACCACCCTGGTGGCGACGAATTGCACATCCTTTTGGTGAAAAGATATACGGTAATAAAACACGTGATACGAAACGTCAACAGGCTCGACAGGAAGTTGAGGTCGTGACGCGAAAGAAGTTTGATCACGGTGAAATTGAATTTCCTTTGGAAATTGACATTGTTTTCAAAGAAACTATATAATAATTTTTTGAGATAATAATTTTAATCATTATTGATATTGATCTTTGATTTGAATTTTTTAGATATTATTCTATTATTCAAAGTGAATGTGAAAAAAATGAATTTATGAAATGTTAGGGAAGAGTGAAATGTTAGCAAAAAGAAATTAGTAGTTTTTTATTTCATAATGAATGAAAATCATCAAAATCAAATAATTAAGAAGAAACTGAATTCATGTGGATGATAAAAAAAGTATTTTCAATGAACATGAGTACATAAATTATATGTTTTAATTGATTAAGATTGGAGTGTTAGATAGAATGTTTTTAAAATGTATTGAATAATTGAGACATAATTATATTGACACATTGGTGAAGAGAAAATGATTTGACTATATTAAAAAGTGTTGCACATAGTTCTTTTAGTGTTTATGGAGTTTGAAACTATTTCTTTTAAAGGAATGAGCTCCCACGCGCATGCAAGAACAATCTGTAGCGGAAGCGCAGTGACAAGTGCGGTTTCTGCATTACATTTCTTAAAAAGTTATAGTCTATTCACGCCGACCTCAGGTATTTTTTTCAAATTTTTAATAGATTTAATTTATATCTTTAATTTATACTTTGTTTGTGTAAAATTAAATTATTTTTGACGAATTAAAAATATATTTTCACTTTTAGTGATAATTTATATGAAAACTTAAAATGAAAACTTTTCTTATTAATAAAATTATTTATTTTTTATTTGTTAGTACTCTTTAGTTTGTAATTAACAAAATATGCATATTCATTAAATTTATCTAAATTTTTATATAAAAATTCCATAATGTGTTTATTATATTATATTTTTTTCAGTTGGAATTTTATTTCAAAGCACTTAATAATAATTAATATATATAGGAATATATATCATATTTATAAATGAATATGAACTTATGAAATATAAAATAAGAATATGAAGTATGATCTTATGCAATTTCGAATTGATTCACAACTCCTCAGATAGCCGTGATCGTCTAGTGGTTAGGACCCTACGTTGTGGCCGTAGTAACCCAGGTTCGAATCCTGGTCACGGCAATGTGCCAAGACACATTGTCACGGTAGAGGTTTTATTTTTTTTTCTTTCTTCAATATTTAACTCTTATTTATTCTAGTTCTTACTTATTTATTATTTAATTAACTTAATAAATTATTTTTTTCAATCAGTTTTATTTAATTCATGATTTATTCTTATATTTTAATTTTTCTTTTTTTTTGTAGAATATTTTTTTAAATATATTATTTATATCATTGATATAATGAAAAAAATAATTACAAGAAAATAAAAATTTATTTCAATAAAGATAATATTTATGAGATTTGTTATAACTTGCTAACTAATTAATAATAAAGAAAATGATTAATAGAAATGCACAATATTATTTATTTAAAATTTGTATATAAATTCAATAATCATTACTAATATTATAATCTAAAATGAAATAAAAAAAATTTCTTTTTTTATTTTTAATTAATCCTATAAATGATATAATATTGATATTGAATTTTTATCAATTTTATTTAATTATAAAATTCGTTTTTCTTTTATATATAGTATTAATTAGATAATAAAAAAAAATAATAGAGACATGGAAAGAAAAAAAGTATTTTGTTTTATTACCCCTGGTGGGACTCGAACCCACAATCCCCGGTTTAGGAGACCGATGCCTTATCCATTAGGCCACAGGGGCTGTTGATATTTTGTCTTTTTAAACTAGATAAAATTTGGACTACTATAAATTACATATGTATTAATATTAATTTGTTATTAAAAATAATACTTTTAAAATTAATTGAATTAAATAAACTAAATTTTAATGTTCTTTTAAATTATCAAATATATTTCTTAAATTAAAATTAAAAATTACTATAATTTGCAATACTTGCATTTTATTATTAGATTATAATTTTTTTTAAATTATAATAAATTATATTACTTTTGTAGACTTATGCAGATATGAGCCATATAATTCTAAAGACTACAACTTTGGAAATATCGACATTTTAGAAAGTTCAAATACACCAGATATAGCAATTGGCCGGACATCATCGCCATTAACACCCTCATCTTTGTCAACATTTTCACTTCCAGGATCTCTACTTCAACCACCGTTTTTATCTACAATTCCACCTTTAATGCAATCTATAAATGTGCCTCCGACGTTTTCTAATAGTAATACAAGTAAGTTGATACTTTTTAAAATTATTTTATTTATGAAAAAAATATGTTAAAATATAATTATTATAAATTATTAAATATTTATATGTTATTATCAAAATATCTTATCAACTGCCTCGGTAGCGCAGTAGGCAGCGCGTAAGTCTCATAATCTTAAGGTCGTGAGTTCGATCCTCACCCGGGGCAAATTTGTTTTTTGTATTTCTTTTTAATAGATTTATTAGTTGTTAAATATTTAATATTATTCTTATTTTTATCAATATATCAGTTTCAAAAGTCATGATTAATGAAATATATCTCAATAAAACAGGTAACATGGTAAGTCGTCATTTTTTGAGTGCGAATAGCATCACAAACATTCATAAACGACCTAGAAGCGAAAAGAAACCAATACCAGATGATCAAAAAGACGAAAAATATTATGAGAGACGTAAACGTAATAACCAAGCTGCAAAGAAATCTCGAGATGCTCGGAAAATTAGAGAAGATAATGTGAGTAGAAATTTAATTATATTTAGACTACAACTATAATAATACTTAAAAGTTCCATTTTATGATAAAAATATTTAATGTAACAAATTATTTAAAAAAAAAAAATTAAATTTATATAATTAAAATTTTATTCTAGATTGCATTGCGAGCAACTATATTAGAGCATGAAAACGCAATTTTAAGGGCGCAAGTAATAACTCTTCGTGAAGAAGCGCAATGCCTTCGGCATATGTTGATTAAACAGCAAACATCACCATTACAATCTATTAATCGGTCGATTTCTTCGATAACACCTGTTACATTATCACCTCCTCATTCAACGGCAACTTTAGATTGCCAAATTTGAAGTATACTATTAACAAAAAAACGTCATAGCTGACATTTTTGGCAATCAAATAAATATTTTTTAATAATTATATAGGAAAACATACTATATTCATAAAGTGATGTTAAATTATTTAGATTGTTGTGTTAAATTTTTTTAAATTTTATTAAATTTACATATAGACAATATATATATTATTTGAAAGCACACAAAAAAATTTTATTTTTTGTCAATTTAACTAAATAATTCAATTATTGATTTTAAAATTTAAATAAAAACTTTAATTCATATCTTTTAAAACAAAAAACAAATATAATATAGTTTCATTACTTATTTAGATTAAATAGGATAGATTATGTAAATAGTTATAATAGTATCATTTTATAACTGTTGAGAAATGAAAATTTATTCATTATAAATAAAATAGCTTCATTGTTATATAATAATTACTTAATAGAACACGTTAGCTATGTTATATAAATGTTTTTAGTAAACAAGTAACTTATATGTATAAATATAAAAATTTCAATTTTAAATTATTGAGCAATTATTATTCAATTCCTATACAATAAATTGCGAACAGCGCAAAAAGATTTATTTGAACAGAATTTGAAAATGATTAAAATTTAATAATTAACATAATAATTTTCTATTCATTTAATAAATATTTTAAAATATTTTATATAAATTTCGATTTTATAGTTTAAAATTTTTATTGTGTAGGCTATCCTGTATAGTTACTAATCTTTTTGAAAATAATAAAGAAAAATAATGTTAAAATGAAAATTTATAAAAATATAATAAATATTCAAATCGTTACGAAAAATTCATTAAAATTGTATATTTGATTATTTGATATATATTTTTATTTGTATATTTATTTTATTTTGTAATATAAAAATTATTTTCTTGACTTTGATGGTATATATATTATATAAAAAATGATTGCAAATTTATTTTGATATTTTTAATATAATGATATTTTAATTTATAAATTAAACAGATTATTGTAATTTATATGTACATTTACATACATTAATATTCAATTTTAATAAAATTGCAATATCTTTTGTTTATTTGTAATAAAATTTTAATTGAAAAAACATTTTTAAATTAATTAAAAATTTACATATTATTTGATTTATTGTAAATTTAATTAGATTTAATGAAATGATATTAATAAATTTAAAAGTTATGAAAAATTATATATTTAAAATTTAATAAAATATAAAATTAAATGAAAATTTTTTTTTTTTTTTTGAAGATCTATAATAACATATCTTTAATTTTACTTAGTCATTGATTATAATTTGGTAACATATGTACTAAACAAAAAATCCAATTAGATTGAATCTATTGCTTTGTAGCAAATCTTTGTACTAAAAGAGACAGTAGACATCCTAATTATTTATCATTTTACTAGTTTTATAATGTAAGTTGAACTAAGATTTTATTGAGAATTTAATTTTTTATAACATATTTATGTACATAAATAAGAATTTTGTATATATTTTTATATTTCTAGACATTTTCAATAAGAAAATCACTGAATAAAATTTTAACTTTTTAACCTATTAGATAAATATAATTATATTGTTATAAATAATTTAATATTATAATGCATTTTCATTACATTAAATAATTATCAATAATAATTTTAATAAAAAAGAAATTCACAATATATTTATTTTTAATACATAATTGCGTTTCATATATAAGTTAATTTCTGTTGGTCAACCTGTTTACTATTATGCGTGAATTTATATAGTATTTTATTTGATGTATGCAGACGTTTGAAGAGAAGATCGATATAATTGAAGCAGACAATATTTCATTGTTTATGTCACGGGGACTTTTCTGTGACTTCCTCGAATTTCTTTTGTGTTATATTAAAAGCATTAACTCAAGCATTAATTTCACTATTTAAACGAGTGGGATTCTCAGAATTAATTCATTGATTATTAATATTTATTCAAATATTTATAATTATTTATAATTATATTATAAATTTATAATTATTTAAACTCTCAATATCGAAAAAATGCCGCATGCAGGCTTAGTAACTATAATTCTTGGAGTCACTGTAGCTACAGTTTTATATTTTATGTTTGGAAATAATAAACAAAGAAATGATCAATATTATGAACATGGTTATGAGTCTTATCCAGAGTGAGTATTATAAATATATAATATAATAAATATATATAAAATATAACTATATAAGTCAATTCTATCTAACTGAATAAAAAATATCTTTTTTTCTATAATAATAGACAATCCAGCATGTCAAGAGATTCCGATGAATGTCCAATATGTTTACTTCCACTGGCATATAAAATTAATTATATTTTACAACCTTGTAGACATAAATTTCATAAAAGATGTATTGAAAAATGGGGACATGAAGCTGAGGTAAGTAACATAAATGAGATAATATTATTATAAATAGATTTAATGATTATAGCTTTTTTAATTTTCTCAAAAACATAATCCAAATTTAAAGTATAATTGATGTTATCTTACAGTCTCAAGCATTGTGTCCACTCTGCAGATCTCCATTTGCTCAAATTAGATAGATTTACATAAGACTGTCAAATTTAATATAAAACAAAAATTTATTGATTAATACAATATTTTTTGTACTTTGTTGAAATTAAGATGTATTTGTTAAACATCAAATTTTCAAAACTACAAATAAATTTTTAATAGATAGTTGTATAATTGTCTTGTATAATTAAGACAAAAAAAAATTCTATTGGAAAAGTAGAATAATTGAAATGAAAAAAAATTGAAATGAAAAAAAATATTATTTTCTATAAAAACATATGCGAGATGAAAGTTTTGTTACTTCTTTGTATTGATAACAAAAGAATGACAGTAAAGTTTCTTGCCCTGTTTTTTCAATATTATATATATACAGGGTTATATACGTTATGTCTGGTGCTGTAATTTATTCACATACAGTTAATATAATAATAGTTATATAACAGTTAATATAATAGTTAATATAATTATAATTACATATATACATTTTTAAAATATAAAATAAATATATAAAGAACAATAGAAATATAATGTACAATACAGTTTAAAATTATTGTTTGAAACTTAACAAAATTAAAAAAAACTTTTCTTTAAAACTTAACTTAAATAAAAAAAAATGAATGAAAAAAAAAGAAATTAAATATGAAATTTATGATTTAATCTTAATTTTGACTTAAAATATGAACATTTCATAAATGAATCTTTTTTGTATTTTTGTAACTAATTTATATAAGACAGTGTTCATAAAATTATATATATTTAAATATAAGATTTTTACTCTATATTTCTATTAAATATTTCTATTATTCTGTCTATTAAAATATAACATTATAGCCCTGTAAACATATATTGTTACTTTTTTCTATTATATAAAAAATGAACAAAAGAATAAGAATCATATTATTATTTATTATAAATTCTGATAAAATATTGCTTTCTATAATATTTTAGTATATTGATTAATTATAATATATATATTATATGAAGAAGTTTTTATTAATTTAATAATTGTTTTATTTGATATTCTTGACATCTAGTTATATTATCTAAATAATTTTATAATTTATCATTTTTTATATTACATAAACAATATTATATATAATATAAGTAATTGAAATTATTTTTAATATTTTAATTGATTAAAATAATTAGAATCAATTCATAATAATCAGTTTACATTATTTATTTTTGTTATAAAATTTGAAAAATAATGATATACATATTTATATTATATTGCAATTGATTATATTACAAGTTTTTTTAAAAAATTATGTAGATTGAAAATTATAGATAATTATTATTTTATTCTTATAAAAATATATTTAATATTAAAATATATTTGTAATAAAAGTCACAACAATAAGTTCTTATTGCTAAATATTATAAATAACAGTTTATAAATTATTAAATATTATATTTCATAAATTATAGTAATATTTTTCACGCGTAATATTTTATTCATATTAACGAAATTTGTCGATATTTAATCAGTTAACATATATATGATAATATAAGATTATCAAATTAAATAATAGAAATTTTGAGAAGTGTGATATTTGAATACATAAATCATTTTAACTTAATATAACTTACAAATTAATAGTTTATAAAGTGTGTTATAAAAAAAATGTACATAGATATAAAATGTAGAATATATTTCTGTGTGAAAAATGAATAAAATAAATATAATTCCTAAATAATAAACAAGTATTTTAAAATATTAACTTCTTTCTACCTTAATATTTCCATTAATATGCAAATATTTTTGTATGCATAATGATTGTCTTTAATAGTATTTTTATGTTTTATAAAAGTGAAAATAGCATTATAATTTTTATAGGATATAATAACTTCATATGATACTTGTGAAACTTTCTTTTGATGTTTATTATTAAATTATTACTTTGATATAAAAAAAATAAAAATAAAAAAGGAATCGAAAAAATTAAAATATAGAAATATAGCATTTATGAATTTAATTCTTATGATTATGCTACGTGTAGAACACTTTTCTTTTCACTAATCATAAATGGTCTCTGTGGTTTCCGGTTCACTCGATTTGTATCCCTTTCGCAATCGCGACCGTAATTATTTTTACTTTCTATTCTCTGAATTTTTATTTCATGTCAATGGTTCAAAAAATTATCTCATTAATAATCCTTTCTTTTAACAATAAATTCTCGTATATTGAAAATAAAAGTAATCTGTTTAATACTAAAATTTATTAAATGATATTTCATAAATAAAAATTTCTTAATATAATGATTTTATACTAATTAATTAACAAAATATTGAAATTATTCTTAAAAAAATCTTACAATAAGAAATATATAAAAATCTCAATAAAATAAATAATGTTTCTTTAGTATGATATAATTGTATCATATGTGTAATTTATATAAATTCGTTTGTATTTATATGTATAACTATACATATATATATATGTGCACAAGATATGTAATGCGTTTAAAATGAAAAACGTGTGGTTATAATTTAAACTTTCAATTCGATAGAAGGGTTAACTTATTACGTTTACAGTTTCTTTTGGCATCCTCGTAATAGCGTGCACGATGGTTGTGAGCAACGGTAATATTTGTCCAGTGAGCGGCCCAGGGAATGTAGGGAACCGGTCAGTTACCTGAGAAACATAGCTGGTAGCAGGACGATCGGTGTTGTCGATTGTTAACCTTAAGAATTCTCTGTGACGGTGGTCCACAGCAACAAGACATGGAGAAGTAAAGGTGGCGCGAAAAAATGCATTGATGATGTCCATCACTTAAAAAGTTTCGAATTTTGCGGCTTTTCCGGCACTCGATTATCAAAATGCGTGAGCAAATTAAATACGATGCAATATTTGCTATTGATTCTGTGTATCATGCACATGATTGTGACTTCGAAAACAACCGATGAAGGACGAGGTAAGAATTCGAAATTCAAACAATTACTTTTGATGATTTTTTCATTTTGTTATTTATTATTTAAAAAAAAATTATGAAAATGATTGATGAATATGATGAAATTATATTTTATATGTTATTCTGTAATAAATTATAATAAATTTCTTTTAATTTAGTAAATTAAAAAAAAANATAAAAAAAGAAAAGAAATTAAATTTTTATGTTTTATGTTATTGAAATTATTTAATTTTTTTTCGATTTGTTTTTGTATTATTAAAAGTATCTAAATTGCTTTACATAATAGACTCGATCTTTTTATTTGTTATAATTTAAAAAACGAAAAGTTAGAAAAAACTTTCATTTTGAAAATATATTATCATTAATTAAATTACGATAATTATCATGCAAAATATTCTTATTTTATTATGCATTCAATTCAATCACATATATAATACAATATATATTATAGCAATTTCAATATTAAAATATAAACATAATTGTAAAATATTTCCTTTAAATCAATTTATGCATCACTTTAATAATATAATCGAATTTTAATTTATATATTTTATAATTTAATACTTAAATATATTTTACATGATAATTTATAATTTAATATATAATGAAACAAGAATTAATATAATTTAATATATAAATGAAACAAGAAATTTATTAATAATAAAATTGCGTTAAAGTATGTTAAAAATTAAGACAAAATTTCTATGATAATCAGTTATATATAAAGATTGTTAGACTAACGGTGAAATTATTTTACTTGATAATCATTCAAATTAACGTGATTAGCGTGAATATATTAACACATGGCATAATGATCGTACTTTTTTGAAGTAGATCAATCTATTTTCAAAAAAGAGATTTACAATTGTGAATGATTACGAGATTGAAAATCGATTGTCGAACATTTTTCTAGGTTTTATGATTGTCGAATTCCATTTTTGCCTGTATTATATATGTATGATAATTAATAGATGATAATTAAATAAATTTTATTTTGATCGACTAGCGTCAAATTGCTCTTTTTAAAAAAAGGCTTCCAGAGAAGTTGCACTTCCTTATTATGTTAAGATTTAAAGATATATGTAATCTATGGTAATATTTTATGATAAATGTATCGTATACGATTAGAAGATCTTATCTTAAATAATTTTATTTTTTTTCTACAATATTAAATATACATTTATTCTACTATATTAAATAAAAATTATTAAGAAAGGATATTAATGGTAATTAAGGAAATGTAAATTATTATTATCTCATATATCATAATAAATTATTGAAAGATTTCGTAACCTTAATGATTTTCATGATGAAAAAATTTAATATTAAAACTGATTGTTATTCGAAATAAAGTACTAAATTAATTATCTTGAATCGATTTAAATAATGGGTTAATTATCTCGATGATAATGATGCTTTAAAGTAGAAATAAATAAGAACTTGTTTCACGGCGCCTTCTTTAATTGCGGAAGTAGAATGGAAAACATGTCGTAATACCAAATATGGTATCGCCATATGTTGATTCTACATATTAATATTTAATATAAGGACACTGAAAAATCGACTCATGAATAGCAAATATGAAAATTTTTTTAATAATGACAAAATAAAAAATTCTTTGTGTTATTTATTATTTAAACTTAATACAAATTTTTTTTAATAGAAATTGAAAATTTGATAATTTCATTATTATAAAATTTTATTTTTAATTTGAAAAGAAATAAATAAATTGAGAAGAAAAATATTATATTAAATTTTTTTTATTAAACATTTGTGTGAAATTATATATTCCATCGTATCTGACAAAATGTTTTGAGCTCTTTAGCGGTTTGCACGTTACTTTAGATAATGATAACTGTTGAAGGTTCAAATGTGGGAGGTTCAAATGTATCGCATATAAGACGAAGATGCATATATTTGTACAACAGATAATCTTGTTCACTTAAAATGAAATGAAAGCAAGATCCCTCTAGGCCTTTCGTTTTTTTTACCTAAATATATGTAGCACATACTGAAACTAGCAGCTCGAAGAAACTGGCTTTCTAATAATATTATGTTATTATCTGTAAGGTCATTAAGATCAGTGATCATCACCGACGCACAATATGTTTCGCGTATATCTTTTATTAAATTGCATATTTTAAATGGTTTTATAGAATGATAATTTATCTTTTACTTTCAATAATTTATGTTCAGATTTAATTTTTTCATGAGAAAATTATTATTATTATAAAAATATAGTATTATTATAAAAATATGATATATTTATTTAATAATTAATTTTTATCTTCTTAAATTTTAATTTAAAAATTTAAATTATAATTTTGTTACTCGTATTTTATGTTAATTATAAAAGTATTAATATTAAATTAAAAATTGTTTTAATATTGAAACTTCAATATTATAGTAATTTATAAATGTTTTCGAATATCATAATA